GACATACTGACTTCTGGAGGAGACAATGGAAAGTTTCAAGAATTATAGAAAAAATATAAGGGGACAGAATAAGGACTGTGCAGAGCACTACAAGGATTAAAAATTAGTAGAGTACCCTGGGAATCCTGTGTTTCTTACTGAGACTGACATTATGAGACTAGTCTTGGTGGATTATGGGTGTTGGGGGTGGGAGGGTGCGCTAGGGGCTCCACTTTGACCCTTTTAAATGGAGGTGAAGAAATATGGAGAGATACAATCTTAGTCCTAACATTCCATGTTATTACCAGTGTGGCAGGTAGACCCTAAAGTGAGTCCTAATGATTCTCTCACACTAGTGTTCACATCTTTGAAACTGTATCCTCCCCCCGCACCCCTGAGAGCATTATAGGTCTGTGACACACTTTTAACCAACAGTATATGGTAATGGTAACAGACAGAACACTCACTATTTCATTAAATCCTTTAAGACTCCATTTTAGCAGACTGGAGTAAGAGGTTCTACAGGATTGACAAAAGATTCATGTTGGAGACACCATGTTATCAACCAGGAACCACAGGCAGCTTCTGTGCCCTGAGGGCAGCCTCCAGCTAACTACCACAAAAAGCTGGGGTGCCTAGTCATACATACCACTGGATATTACCTTTGCCAGTAACCTCAGTGAACTTGGCAGCAGATTCTTCCCCAGTCAAACCCCCCGAGATGAGAAGGCACCATGGACAATACCTTGACCACAGCTTTTTAAGACTGAGCAAAGGAGTTAGCTCTGCTGAGCCCAGACTTCTGACCCACAGAAATTGTGGAATAAACTTGTGTTGCTTCATGCCACCAAGTTTGTAATCAATTGTCACACAATGGAAAATCCAGTGTGTGTGGCTATCTTGACCCACTGAAGAGGCAAAGATAACCTAGGAAACCCAGGCATTATGATCACACATTCTCTTGGCTCCACTCAATAGCCAACTGAAGGCCTAGGGAAGTGATCTCAATAAGGCTGTGGGCTTGTGAGAAGGTGATCTTGGCTAGAGCAAATGGTACATTACATTAGGATAAGACTGAAAACGTCTGGAGGGAGAAATCTGGGATGTGCTGGACTTCATTTCCTACAAGCCTAAAACTACTCTTAAAAATAACGTATAAAAGTGAAAAAATAAAAGCAGGTTAAGTTCAAATCCTGCTGGCCCCACATGTCACACTACTAAATATATAATGTACAATCACTTCTAAGGAAAGCAGACGAGCTAATTTGACCTCTGGGAAAACAATTCCAGTAACACAGGCAAGAAGTAGTTTGAAGGAAAGACTGAAGGTGGGGACTGAAGAGGCCACTGTCTTAACAGCTAAGCCATCTCTTCAGCCCTTCAGCCACAACAACTTAATTTTTAAATAAAAGAATAGGATGGGAACTTTGTAACTATTAACAAGGTTACACATTCAGCCATCCTACAGGAGGATTTGCCTGCTTGACCTCAAGTAGCTGATCACATCCTTATGCAACAATCTAGAAGCTTCCATCTCCCATATACTTTTCTAAAATAAATATGAATACAATCAATCAACTAAAACAGTATTTGGACCAAAGTCAAATATATCACTTAATTCAATTACTCAAATGTATTTAAATCTAATTTTGGAAACAGTCATAGCCACAAAAACAGACAAATTTCTAGAATCATAACATACAGGAAACAAAGGAATATCTAATTTTTTAGTCAGTATTTTAACTGTGTCTTCCATCATGTAAAAAGTACAGCACAGGATGCGCCATGCTCTTTGGCAGCAGCCACATTCCTGGTTCTGAAGCAGCACCTCTGCTCAGCAGGTCCAAAGAGTTTAGCTCTGGCCGGATTCTCATGATGGCCTAGCTCCCCACCTTCTTTCAGAAAGCCCTTCTGGGACTGCAGAGTCTCACATCTAGAACTGTAATTTACATTTTTATGCTTAATTTATCCTGTGTATATCTTCTTTGTATGCATGTGTAACTTTTAAAACTCCGAGTTAGGTGAGAAATTTTTCAAAGTCCAGGATTTCTATTCCTTGGGCATCTATCTCTAAAGTTAACACAGGAAAAGGAAAAAGCTTTACAAAAACAGTTGAGTTACTGCCACTTGCTAACTAAATGCCCTGAGTCTCTGATGCTTTTCAATAAAATGGAAATTTAAAATACCTATATGAACATGGTGAGAATTTGGTAAGGTAATACAGGCAAAGCACGTGACACAAAGCAGACAGGCTGATAAAGAATACTACTAATGAGAACAATCTAGGGCCAGATAGCTCAGTAGGTAAAGGCACTTGAGGCCAAGCCTGAGGACCTGAGTTCAATACCCAACACCTACAAGTTGACCTCTGATCTCTACATGTATGTTATGTCACACACCAACACACACAGACACACATACAAATAAGTAAATGTAAATTAAAATTTAAAAGAATAATCTAAAACTACTACTGTGAAAAGAGAAAGCATATTCCTTACTAATAAAGTTTTCTAAACAGAGTTTATGCCTATTGACATATTTTTCGTTCTTTATCAGTAAAATTTAAAGAAAGTTTTGTTTCCACCTCCACACCTGAGAATCCACATACAGTACAATGCAGTATCTTTGTTCCTGTCTTCCTCTCTTTAAACTACTACTACCAAACTGTACTACTGCACACTCACAGCACTAATAACTAATATGTGATAAGGTAAATTATAGCTTCATATAAACCACTGGCCTTTTCCCGTCATTCAACCACAATCACTTAACATGCCCAGTGAGCACACAGTGGTTCCAGACTGGGATGTAGATGCTACACATAAGCAGCAGCTGTCAAGTGAAAGCTTGGAAATAAAATGAAATTTAAAAGCTCTTTTTCCTTCTTGTGGTGCTGGAGATGGAAACTAGGGCCTCCCATATGCTAGGCAAGCATTCCACGACTGAGCTATAGATTCAACTCCTAAATCATTTTATTTTCATTCTTTTCTGACACCAAATATGTGGAACAGTTCCCCCTAAATCTAACAATTCTCCAACTTTGTGGACACTGAATGTTCTATAGTTCAGTTCAATTCTGACATCACCACCACCCCAACAAGCACAGATCTCACAACAGGCTCAATACATGTCTACCCCCACTTCAGAGGCCACTCATTAGTTCCAAGCTGCTAAGGATACATCTGACCAACTGGTTATCAATGGGGGCTCTCCCATGAGCCCTTCCTCAGGTTTCATAATTTTCTGGAACAAGACACAGAACTGAGAAAAAGCCTACTTAACTAGGACCGGACTGTAAAGTACACCATTCAGGACCAACCAAAGGGAAGAGATGCAAGAGCAGAACAGAGAGGGAAGGTGGCCAGAGCTCCCATGTTCTTTCTAGACTCGCCACCCTCCTGGCGCCTTGATGAGAGGGTTCATTACACAGACACAATGGATTAAATAGGTGGCCACTATGATTAGATCAACACAATCTTCAGGCCCTCTCCAACCCTCTCTTGGAAGGCAAGTTTAAGGTTCTACCATCTAGTCACGCCTTGATACTTTGGTGACCAGCACCCATCCTGACGCTATCTAGGGACCCAAAGCCACTAGTCAGTTCATTAGTATGTATCAGATTCTCATCATTCAAGAACTTCCATAAATTTTAGAATCTGTGTAACTGCAACTAGAGAAAAGGACCAAATTTTTCTTCTTAATCACAACTTTGTATAAAGTACTCCTAGAACTAAGGAGCCAATAAAATACACATTGAAGAAATTTCCAAATGAAAACCTATATAATCTTTCAGAATAACTTTCTAGATTATGAAAAACATCTACCAGGAAGAGGTGATCCCATTTAAAGATCATTGTCATGATATGAAAATACAAGCAGACAACTGAAGTATCTTTCAGAAGAGACTAACATCTCCAGAGCCAAAAATGTGTGAAACTAGAGGGCTGGTGAGTATGCCTAAGATAAAGATGCAAATACAGAGACAGCATTATTTGCAGGAGAAAACCACCTCAATAGGTCTCAAATCTGTGTCACAATAAAATTATGAAAAGAGCTTAAAAAAATAACTGCCCTAAGTGTAAGTGGTGAGGACCTTAACTGATAGTGGAAGGTAGGTCCTTACATGCTTTTCAGATGCATACAAAGGAGTTGGTAGGAGACTGGGAGGGAAAGAAATAATACAAAGACAATATGTACATGTGAAATTCTCAAAAAGAAAAAAGAAAATTTAAATATGCACCCAGAGTAGCAAACCACCATTTAATAAAGAGTTTTTCTCATTTCCTTACTTTTAATAAATCAAGATTAAATTTTGAGGGGAAGAATATGCTTTCCCAGACTGGGTAAATTTCTAGAGGCTCTGGTCTACCAGAGCAGAAGGCGAGTCTTCTTCAAAACAGCCTAACTCAAATGATAATCACAAATACAACAGTGAAGTTCCAGACATGGTTTCCACTGTGAGGAAACCATCATCCCACATTACCACAAAGACAGCACCCCCATCAAGAGACACACTCCTACTTCTCAGTACATCAAGCACTGTAGGAAGGTTCAGGTATTATAGAGATTAGGATTTACTTTGCTAATTTACAGAACAAAAAAGGAAACCTAGGGAATTTCACTAGGACCATTATGGTCATTTTCAGCTATTACCAATAGTCCTTCTCATAAAAAGAAAAAGAATCCTAAGTTGCTGAATTCTAAATAAAACATTAACAACTTGTTTTACATTAGTTTAACCAATCAACTGAAAAAAAGTAATAAAATATAATCCCTACTTAATTTCCATTTAAAAGAAGTGCAATTGAGAACAATTTCACTGGGCTGGCAAAATGGCTCTTCAGATAAAGGTGCTTTCAGCTAAGCCTGACAACCTGAGTTCAATCAATCCCAGAGACTCACATGGAAAGAAGTAGCTCTCAAAAGGTGTCCTTTGACCACCCATGTTCACTGACACATGCACACACAAAGAGAAATAAATAAATGTAGTAATAAATAAATATTAAAAAGAATAATCTTACTGTTCTAGAATCCGAGAATGGATTATATTCATCAAGTCCTGGTGGAACATTTCTTGTCACCTGTGTAACTGATGGATCCTAGAACAAAATTTGAAGAAGAAAAACAATTATCCTTTAAGATATAATTTTGATACTTACATAGTATTTGCTGTGTCTGAACCTTTGATCACCCAGCAAAGCTAACAGAAGAAACTAAAAGTAGATTGTGAAATATATTCAAAGCCATTTCAACAAAGGTAAAATTTAAGCCACAACCCTCACACCCTCAAAGAAAACAAAAACTGGGTTAGATGCAAATCAACTGCTACTTTTTCTATGACAGTGGATCCCTCTTACTAACTGTGTGGAACGGAGTGCCTATGACACTTTGACTAAGTCCATTTCCTTTAAGATCACATAAAGCTCATATCCCTTTCTTCCTTTCTGACACAAGGTCTCACTCCTGGTGATCTTCCTGCCTCAGCCTCCTGAGTGCCACCCATGAAAGGCATGAGTCGCCATACTTAGCTGTATGTTCCCCCTTTTAAAATAACACCTTCTTCAGTTTTCCCAATTTCAAATGTAAGACCATTACAATCAATGTCATACACCACTGCCACAACTCGCATTCAAAAGCAGCTGCCTCTTGCTCTACTCTACTCTAGTATCTCTCTACTTGACCGTAGTTTGCTTTTCTACAAGATCCGAGACTTTCTCCCGTTTCCCAAGCATATTACCACACCATCCTAGCCTTTCAAATCTTTTAGGCTTTCATAAAAATTACTAAATCAAAGGGTGAATTGGCTCAGTGGTTAAGAGCACTGGCTGCTCTTGCAGAGGACCTAGGTTTGATTCCCAGCACCTACATGGCAGCTAACGACCATCTGTAACTCCAGTTCCAGGGGATCCAACACCCTCTTCTGACCTCCACAAGCACTGCATGACACAGGTACACTTATATACAGGCAGGCAATACACTCATACATATAAAATAAAATATTTTTTAAATTCTTAAAAAAATTACTAAATCGCCCACCCTCAGGCCTCTCTTGGGGTAAGTCTACCGTGCAGCCCTCCGTGTCTTGACTCCGCCAGCCGCGCTCACCCTTCCATCTCCCCCGCTGTTCTCTACTCCTAGCTTGGGCCCTGTGCCATTCCTGGTCTTGGGGCCCCAGACACCTGGGGAGCCAGTGCTGATTCCTGACACTGTTCACCCCAACCGGCTTGGTGCCTTCCTTGGGCCCCAGGAGCACTGCCTCCGGACCCAGCCCGCCCTCACCTCTCTCTGCTTCCCCGGACCTGCACCACCGGCTAACTCGCCTGGCCTTCTACCCTATCCTCAGGCCTTTCGGGGTGGGTCCATCGCGGACCCACCTCATTCGCCCTTCCATCTCCACAGCTGTTCTCTGCTCCTGGTTTGGGCCCTGCGCCATTCCTGGTCTTGGGTCCCCAGACACCTGGGGAACTGGTGCTGCTTCCTGATCCTTTTCACCCAGGTCAGCTTGGTGCCTTCCTTGGGCCCCAGGAGCACTGCTTCCACGGGACCTGGCCCTGCCCTCATCTCTTCCTTCTTCCCGGACCTGCACCACTGGCTAACTCTCCTGGCCCACTCTCCTGCCCTCAGGCTTCTCTTGGGGTAAGTCTACCGTGCAGCCCTCCGCGCCTTGACTCCGCCAGCCGCCCTCACCCTTCCATCTCCCCCGCTGTTCTCTACTCCTAGCTTGGGCCCTGTGCCATTCCTAGTCTTGGGGCCCCAGACACCTGGGGAGCCAGTGCTGATTCCTGACCCTGTTCACCACAACCGGCTTGGTGCCTTCCTTGGGCCCCAGGACTACTGCCTCTGGACCCGGGCCCCGCCCTCACCTCTCTCTGCTTCCTTGGTCCTGCAACACCCGCCAGCCTCTTTCTGGGGCTGACAGCCTC